AGTCAGAAGAAAACCTCATTCTCACTTTGTTCTGGGTGTGTTGGCTACAGAGGTCAGCACTGGGACTGTGGCAGAGAAAGTGCATGGATAATAAAAAACATGCCTCCAACCAGAGGTGGAGAGTACATGTTTGAGGTATTTGTACTTAACTTGAGTATTTCCATTTCCTGCTACTTCATCCTTGGACTTCACTGCACGGCAGAAACAAACCTTGTACTTTTGACTGCACGACATGTATTTGATAACAGTAGTTCCTTTGCAGAATCAGGTGAATCAAACAAAACACAGCAGAAACGTCTCTATTGATCCCTGAGGGGACATTCACAAGCTACCCAGCAGGATGTAAAGTACTTCACATGTAAGGTAGTTAACATGAGCTCCACCTTTACCAGCCAGCAAGTCCTCCAGCCTGTATGACCCATCAGAGTGTGGTTACCTGAACATAGGTCAAACTTTAGGCTAGACAGCTGGAGCAATCCAACGTCTACATTAAATAACACTCCTACGGGCTGTGTGAGGAATTGCAACAATCCACCAAAATGAACAGCAATGTATGTCACACTACCAGGCTTTACAGAACTTGGGCATCATGGAAGCAGCCATAAACACAATGGCCAGCTAGCAAGCTATATAGCATGCTAGCTAGCAGCAAGTTACTGTAACGCCATTGTCTTGGAATCTGTCCTAAATATGAAGGTATGATTATGAAACTGTCACAGTTTCATTACATTTTGCCACACAAAACACTTGGTTATGATTAGGCACAGCAACTAAAATGACTGCTTTACCCATTGAACCACATTTGCCACAAAATGATGCAGGACATTTACTTGTAACTGAGTAGTACAAACCTTTTCCCAAATGCTGTTGTTGTAGAAATCTGCTCCAACACGTGTCCTAACATGGAGAGGTGCTGTCGAAGCCTCCTGTGGCCCAGACTCAGTGACAGTGCAGAGACATCAGCTTATAATGGTTTTGAGTGGGACTGACCTCGGACCAGTTAGAGATTTCCACTTATTTCTGATCAATCATTGAGTTTTGTTCTCATTTGTTGTAATGTCATAAGGACAAATATATGCAGAGCGTGGTGGGTGTAGCAGGGCGTAGTGGAACAGAGTGGGGCAGGGAGAGGGGGCAGCAGGGTGGGTTGGTATGGAGGTTCATGCTGCTGTTACTTTAAGATACCTCCTGTAGCTTGAAGTAAAGGACCCTAACCCTTTTTCTACCACTGCCCCCAACAACAGACTACACAACAAATGTGTAAATAAAACATCTTTGGAGTTGCTACTTACGTTGTGTAAAGTAAAACTGAACTTTTGTAACGTGGATGTGTTGAAGGCTTGGAGCTAGACTGTGAGAGGAGGTTAAAAACAGCAGCAGAGTAAGAGCTCGCTGCATTTCTCTACTCTGTGCTGGATCTGTTCATCAGCATCCTGCATCATGCTACTCTGGTGCTGCACCTCTCTCTCTCTCTCTCTCTCTCTGCTGATTCCTTCCCTCTAGCTTCTTCTCATTTCTCTGTACCTGCTGCTCCTCTTCACACCTTTTTGTTCATTTCTTCATCCTCCTCTTCCCTCTGCTTGTCTTCCTCCTCCTCCCCCCACATCTCTCCTTCTCTGCCTTCCTCCTCTCTTTTCGTCATTCTCCATCCCTTACATTTAGTTTTGTTCCACACCTCCTCTTTTTTCTGTTTACCTTCTTTTCCTCCCCCCTTACTTCAGTTGCTCCCTTCATCACCTTTTACCAGTTTTTGTCTCTGCATCCTGCCATTTTTTTATAAATTCTGGTTGCCTGTAATTGGTACAGAGAATATGAAGAGGGAAGAAGGAAAGAAAGGAGGAAAAGGCTAAGGAGGGAGCAGAGAAGAAGAGAGAGGACAGAGGAGATGCAGAAAAAAGAGATGACTGGGAAGAGGAGAGACAGAGACATGGAAGAGAAGAATTGGGAGAGGAAGGAGAAGACTGAGAACTGTTGCAGAGGGAGTCAGAGAGAGGCTGGCTGCTCCAGTTTCTTTTCTGACGTCGGCCAGAAGTTCTACGCATAAACACAGCGTCATCAGGAAACCAGAGTCCCAGTGTCGGGCATTTTGGAGCCAGTAGAAAGAGGAGGAGCGGGAGAGAAACTGTTCAGACTGTTACTAAAGCAGTGGACACACCTGTTCAGACGTCACAGCAACCAGGTGATCTGATCAACGGCCTGCAGGGACATATTCAGAGACTCGTACTGGGAATTAATGAACTCTACTCCCCCTGTCAGCACCACACACACTTGTTAGTGGAAAGTGTTTAAGGAAAAACTATCCATCCATCCATTTTTCATACCACTTAGTCCCAAACGGGGTCACGGGGGGCTGGAGCCAATCCCAGCCAGCTGCGGGCGAGAGGCGGGGTACACCCTGGACAGGTCGCCAGTCTGTCACAGGGCTGACGTGTAGAAAAACAACCACACTCACTCCTACGGGCAGTTTAGAGTCTCCAGTCAACATAAGCTGCATATCTTTGGACTGTGGGAGGAAGCTGGAGCACCCAGAGAGAACCCACACAGGCACAGGGAGAACATGCAGACCCCACACAGAAAGGCCTGGGTCGGCCGGGGCTCGGACCCCAACCCTTTTTGCTGCTGTGAAGTCACATTTAAATTCTAAAAAATGATTCTTCTTAAGAATCAAAAAGGTGTAAATATCAAATATAAACAGCACAAAAACCCAGAGGACAGTATGTGTCTGTGTTGCTACAGGCCTGTTTTTAAAAACACTGTGTGTTTTCTTTAATAAAACGTGTTAGCAAGCAGATTGTTTCATTTGTTCCTCCTCCACCTGCCCAGTGCCTCCCAGTAATGAGGAAACTCCAGGAACGAACTAATCCTGACTAGGAAACAGTCCGATACATAACCTCCAGAAAAACCACGACATGTTGCTTTTACAGTTTGGAGATTGTGCAGATTTAATAAATGAGACACATGTTTATTAGTAAGTGTTAGATTATGTTAACCACAGTCTTTATGCTAAGCTAATCATGTCCTCTGTACAGTATGCACACATGACAGTAGTATCAATCTTCTCATTGACCTCTCTGCAGAAAAGCAAAACACATATTCTTTAAATTTACTGTAACGTCGGCTGGAGCACAGTGTCTCACACACACACACACACAACCGGGGAGCACACGGCAACAACCGAACACACACTGAACAAGTCCCCCCACTATATACAACCTGCCCACAGGGGCATTCTGGGAGACCCCGCCAACAGTGTCTCCCCTCTGGCCTTATGGAGGTCTCGCCACCTGTCCCTCCGCCCCCAACGCCACAATACATTACTCTTCTGTAGATCACATGGAAACACCTGAGCCAATTCAGTCACTGAGGAAGTCCATGGCACATGGATGAAAATGCTGTAAAAGTGTATTTTAATCACAGAACAAATCTTTAACAAAGTGTTTTGATTGATCTGATCACATACGATGACTGAACACAGGTTTTATGACAATCCATCTCACAGGTATAACTCGGGTTCAGGAAAGATAAGACGGCTTCACTGGATTATTTTATACTAAAACGTGCACACATGATTGCAAACTAAAAGTACAGTGACTGTTGGAAGGAGCCCTGGAACAGCTGAGCCTCAGTCATGTTATATTCAATAATAATTTTACTTTTCTAACTTCAATCTTTGACTCTTTTCATAGCCCTCCTCCTCCGCTCTCTCTGTTCTGTTCTCTGACTCCCTCCCACTCTCCCTGATTACAAAGAGAATACTTCTCTTCAGAAATCAATAAAATATAACATTACAACAAAATGCACTGAAATGTTTCCAACCTCAAAGCTTCAAATGGAGGCACTAAAAAGAAAAGGGAATCTGAGCAGATGCACATGCGCAGTATGTCCTGCAGCCTCTGGGTCGGTCGACGCCTGGCGACAGAATCGGGCCAGTTGGTGCCACACTGCTGCACATAGTAGGAAGACTTTAAGTTAGCAGCATTGAAAACGATAGGACAGTGCTGCTGTTTGTTTTGTTTGGCTAAAATGTTGCTCAAGTCGTTTAGATCTCACTTTAACGACTGTGGTAGATCAGAATGGATGACAACTCCACATTCTCTATAGAAGGCCACCCCAGTATCACCACTGACAAATCTGGTATCACAGGTTTTCACTTTGCCTCATTTATTTAATTCATACCAAAACAAAAATGCAAGCTATAAACTCTGTGTTTAGGCTGCTGATCCTGCACCTGGCTGTTGCACAGTACAGTGTGTCGTTTGGTGAGCAGGTGTATGTCTGAACTATATGCAGAGCCAGGGTGGCTACCCCCCACCCCATAGTACCAATCCAGATTTTGAACAGACTCAAAGAAATAATGGACTGTGACCCAGGATACCTGGGAGGTCAGAGCAACAACGAAACCAGATTAACACCATCTGTTTAGAAAGAAGCCATTTTAGCAGGTAACAGAAGAATGACTGGCATCATCGGACCCCGTGAGCCTTCGCTCCTCATCTACACCCGCTTTGTGAAGTTAAAGTGTTTCAGACTGCAGCATTAAATGTGCCTCATGACTCTGGGGTTTCACGGGTTCTCCCTGTCTGACACTGAATATGAGCTCAGATTACTACAAGCTCACAGAAGCTTCAGTAACATTATTATTATTATTATTATAACATCATCATTGCCAGTTTCAGCCCTCGCAGACTCCGAGCTGCTCTCTGTCCTCCTCTGCATGTATTAATAACAGTGAAGAGCTGAGGAAAAGTATAATTAGATGGAGCGACCAGTGGGAGGACGAGGTGTGTGTGGATGTGATGCCATGGCTTACACAGCGCACTGTTGCTCGTGTAGGTGTGTAATGTGTTTGTATATTCTCGTGAGGAGCATCACCGCTGTCATCATCCCTCCCACTAATTTAAATGTATGTGTAT